CCCCCCCCCCAGCAATCCTGCCTGTCACAGCTGCCTCCACTGTACAATGTGCTCCACCTCCCCTCCTTCTCAAAGCATCTTATCAAACTGAAGCCTCTTTGGAAGGAGCGGAGTTCCAGCCCAGCCCCGAGCAGGTCCCATCCTAGCATTGGAGCACAGGGCTAGTCCTGACCCTGCTTTTACTAACGGTCCCCACCGACGCATGCCCCGCAGAGTCTGGGCACTCTAGCTCTCAATTCTGAAGCCTGAAACCTTGAATTAAGATAGGCTTTAACATTGTGTTTGGTGCTTCAGTGGGACCTCTTTCCATAGTATCTGGGGTCTTCAAAACGTTCACATGACCGAAGGTAACAACTGGTCTGTATTCACCTGGAGCAACAGAGTAAGAGGGACGGTCAGTAACAGGAGAGGAAATGGGACGTGAGGCTACTTGCCTCCATGAAAACGTACCCCCTTTGCCCTGAGATTTTAGGAAACAGACTGTACCTGGCCACCATAACTAAATATTTTGATCAAAGATTCTAAAGAATCCTGATCAAAAGGGGAGAAATAAAATACAGGATTGAAAATTCTTATGGAATAATCCACATTTTCTGGAGCCATGGAGGCTGGACAAATCCCTGACACTCCTACCCTGAGATAATCTTTAAATGTTAAGCCAAAACTATCCTCTGAAGTCTTTTTAAACCTATACAATAGTTGAGTTTACCTAGTAAAGAAGTGCCTTGAGCCACTGTGCTCTTTTCAGACCTATCTGTGTGGGATCAATCTGACAACAGAAACTTGGAAGATTCCATAGGACGCTTAAGGGGTAATGAGCTCTAATTGGGGAAGACCAACTCAGAAGAGGAGGGGGCAGTGGTTGCAGAACTTGAGGAATGTCATCAACATCACTGAACTGCACATGTCGGAATCGTTGAACTGGTGCATGCTCTTCTGCTGCGTACATTCTCAACAACAGCAGCCCTGGCCTCAGGGGCAGTGGCAGCGGCAGCAGCTCTGAGGAGGGCATGTGGACCATGATTCATTGCTCAGAGCACATTCCTCTGAGCATGGCAAATGGTCCACCTTGTCCATCTGTACCTCTGCTTCACAAGATGACACTCAGCTCCCAGAAGAGAAGCAGGCCCCTGCTATTACTGATGCAGGATAAAGTTTCCCCTAACAAGTCCCTTGTACTTTAGAGAAATTTCCTAAACCCATGTAACCCACGAGGGCTTTAAAAAATAGCCTCTCTCTGCCTTCTTTCTCAACCAGGACATTACTGATGGTTCAGATAGGCTCATCCTTTGCTGTAGGTGCCTCTTACTCTCAAGTTAGGCTGTCCAAAAATATCTCCACCACAGTTGTAAAAAGTTAAGAAAAGGTTTTCTTGATGAAAGAAACATTCTATAATGGTTACTTGGGGCAGGGAGGGGAGGGGATTAGTCAGGGCTGGAGAGTAGACATGTTAACATGGGTGACAGGGTAGGCAATAGACTAGAGGGAGGCTGGCAGAGGAAACTAAAGGTAACAGGAGACACAGGGAGAAACGAGCTAAAGTGAAGAGAGGGAAATACTGTGAACGGATGATGGTACATGGAGAGGACTGCAGGCACTGTGATGGAGCAAAGTATAGGATTTGTTGAATGTGAAACTGGAGTCAGTCCCTCGATTCACAATTAAAAGTTAAATCCAAAATGTCACCAGATATTGCCATATGTCCATTGGGGGACAAATTGAAAAGCACTGTTAAAGGGCAACAATGGAAATGAATACTCCCTTGACTATGTTGTGGTGGGCCGAGTTGATTCTGACTTATAGTAAGCCTATAGGAAACGGGAGAACTGCCCCCAGAGAGTTCCCTGGGCTATAATCTTTATGTGTGCAGACCACCAGGTCTTCAGCCTCTTGGAATGGCTTCGAACCATCAACCTTTCGGTTAGCAGCTAAGCACTTGAACCACGGTGCCACGATGGTTCCTTTCCTGTAACTATACTGATCTTGATCTTGAAATGCTTAGTTATGTGGCCTTTCTGGTTAATCCAGGGTGTAGAATAAAGTGTTGTTAAGTGCCGTCATGTTGGCATAGCAACCCCACAGAGGGTTTCTGAGGCTGTAAATCTTTACGGGAACAGAAGACCTCATCTTTCTCCTGCAGAGCGGCTGGTGGGCTTGAACCACCAACTTTGTGGCAGCAGTCCGGTGCTTATCCTACAGAGCCACCACGCTCCCTTAGAATAAACAAGCAAAGAAATGTTTTGTGTTTTTTTTTTCTGTTAATTAATAAAATTAATACTTAAAATCTCCAGTGTCTTAAAGAACTGATTTGTGTTGCTTTTATAAAGATGAAATTGCAAATAACACTTCTCTGTCCAATTCTCGCAACACCAATCTCCTTGTGTGTGTGATGACGAGCAGGGCAGAGTGCTTTACCGAGGACAGGACAAGCCGTCATTTTCCACTAAGCTGTGGTCCCAGAGCTCCAGGACCACTAGTGTTTCCTGAGGGAACAGCACCTGAACAAAGTCCTGTGCTAATGGGGACAGTGGTTCTCAATTTGTAACCACACATTAAAATCAGTTGGAAAATTTGAAAACTACTGACACCTGGGTCCTGCCTCAAGCGTCTACTTTATTTACAGCCTGGGTCCTGGGACTTAACAAAAATTCTCCAGATGATTCAAATATGCAGCAAATACTTAGAACCCCTGCTCACACTGATACACACATGAGTCATCTGGGGATCCTGTTCACCTGCAGCCTCTACCTCACAGGGTTTTGGGCAGGACCTCAGACACACATGCAAACAAACAACTCTTTACTGTGATCCGGGTGAAAGTTTACAAAGCAAATTGGTTTTCTAGTCAACAAGTCATCCGTACTTTATTTCCTGACATGGACTACAGCCCCCACAATGCAGCAGCACTCTTCCCACCTCCCTGGACTCCCTGTTTCTACTCAGCCTTCTCATTGATCCTTGCTGCTTTCTGCGCTTCCTCCTTCAGCAAATGCTGTTTGGGCTCATCTAGGTGACTGTTCTAAGGAGTGTGTACCTCCCTGGTGTTACAGTTCACCTGGTGTGGTTAAGTGCCGTAGAGTAGGTTGTGACTCATAGCGACCCTATATAAGGTTTCCAGGTATGGTGCTGTAGGATAAGAAGCTCAAACCCACCAGTTGCTCCTGAGTCACTACATAAAAGTCGCTATGAGTCGGAACCAACTTGATGGCACTTAACAACATAGGGTTTCCGAGGAGCAGCTGTGGGTTTAAAACACCGACCTTATAGTTAGTAATCTAGGGCTTATCCTACATCACCACACCAAGACTCCTTACAGGGCTGTTTACTGTTTGGCTGAAAGTTCAACCAGAAAGCAAGTTCGCTTCCAACCAGTCTCAGGGGTTTGACAATCTCTATCACACCTGTAAGCCTGGTCTCATTAGATCTGCCTTCTAACCACTTCCCAGGAGATGCTGCTGCTGTGGCTCAAAGTGGACTAAACCACTGAAACCAGAATCTCTGGGAATGAGCACTGTGGTTGTTGTCAAACCAACTCATAGCGACCCCATGCATACCAGAATGAAACAATGTCCGATCCTGGGCCAATCTCAGTACCACTGCCACACTTGACGCCATCAATGATGCTACCTGGCCGATCCATCTCGTTGGGGGTCTTCCTCTTTTTCTCTGACCCTCCACCTTACCCA